ACAATAACATGCTACTATTAGTGTCTTACCTTAAAAATCGTTCTCATAATCAAATCGTGTTCTTCTAATTCTTCTGAGGTAAATCCAAGGTGCACAGCACAAACAACTCGATGAAAAGCAGAGCAGTACTGAACTCGCTGATTCTTTGTTTTGATGTGATGAGGGAGGTAACAGCTCTGCGTTCCTCCACGTGGATCATTTGCATATGAACAGCTCTTGCGTGCGTGTGGGCGTGGTCACATTAGCGCTAATCAGCTCGGGCTGGAAAAACTTTACATGTCGTTGCTTTCATATGAATTACTTAAACAGAGAATATTTGTTTTTGATATGATTTACATTTAAAAATGGAGACTTCAAGCTTCGTAAAGACATATGTTTCATGTCACAGTGACAAGCATTTGCTGAGTTATAGGTCATTTTCTGTCGCGTTTCAGAATGAACTTCACATTGAGAGACGGGAGAACGCGCATCATGTTTATTTTCTTTATTTTACGAAAAACACATTTTGTTTTTATTATGAGTGTACACAAATAAAAGTAATTTAACAGTTTTGAATGATGTGTAACACTTATGTAAGATCAAAATCAACAGAGTATTTTGAGTTTGTTTTGCACTGATAAGAAAAAAAGCGAGCAGATCACGCCGGCGTGATTGCCGACCCCAGAGGGTTAAAGGATGGTGCTGCAATTTTTACTCTTGCCTTGACATCAGAGTCTCTTTCCCATGTAGCTAACCTGTCTAGGTTACTTCTGAGAGTTCTGTTAGACCAAGTTAGATCTAGGAATGGCAAGGCTCTTCTGTACTCAGCTACAAGGCCATCTGCCCATATGCGGATTAGAGGTCCTTTGTCAAATAACACACTTTCAGAATCATCAACTATTCCACTGTAAGTTACGGCTGACTGACACAACCTTTCAGTGTATTCACTCACAGTTTCTTCTTTCCTTTGCACACAGTTAGGGATTCTGGATCGGTCTATGTTTGGTCCAACAATGTTCTTTAACACTCCCAGAACTCCCTCTCTCAATTCATCTTTACTGGCATGTTGCAGTTCAGAAGTAACAGCAGACTCAAAACTGTTGAATTCAGATTCAGTTAGAATTTGTGACATCAGCTGTGTGACTTCTGCCAACGACATGTCGTAGAGACGCATTTTGCTGATCAGTGCTCTTCTAAATTTAGAAAAATGTGTGCATGCTGAGGGTAAGCTCTGGGATTTGTCTCTCTATATCTTTAGGTCCTAGCACTGTGGCAACAGTTTGGATTTGGACAATAGAAGAGTTGGGAGGAACACTTTCAGTTCCCTCAATTCTCTGAGATTTTCTCATAGCAGCACCATACATCTTTACTGAATCTACAGGCTCATCCGGTAGTGATTGTATGGCTACATCTGTTTCAAAGAAAGCTTGTATATCAGGATAAGTTTCTGACTTTTGGTCTTCTGAGCCACATTTGGTTGAGGCCTCGTTATGACCCACCTTTTTAGTGAGACAGGAAACTCGAGTGTGCAATTGTTTGTTCTGTTCTTTTAACTTAGCAATACACCTAGCTTGTTCTTGTGCAATGGATAAGCTAAATTCTCTGTGGCAGCGGATAATGCCTTTTTATGTTTCTCTTCCTGATACACGCACCTAACACCTTCGCGCATTCTTCAATAGACCATACATACTTTTTCTGGGTGAACACCAAATGTCTTTGTCAAATCCAATCTGACTGACTCAGTCACTATGGAGTCCATGTGCTCTCCTAACAATGACTTGAACTCACTGTCTGTCCATAAAGGGGTAGCTAGTCCACCTTTCTCAGTAGTTGGAACCACCTTAGCATTCCTTCTAACCATTTTGTGATGTTTTTTGTTATCACACAATCAAAAACACTAAAACTTCTCTGATCAACATAGGGTAAACTTGTTAACTCCGCTTAACTATTGTTAACCTTCCAAATTACCAACATTTCACACTTAAAGGGTTAGTTCACCCAAAAATGAAAATTCTGTCAGTAATTACTCACCCTCATGTTGTTCCAACCCCGTAAGACCTTTGTTCATCTTCGGAACACGAATTAAGATATTTTTGATGAAATCTGAGAGCTGGATCACTCCTCCATACTAGTCCATAGGCTTCTTCAGGGATTGAACTTGCCGGCCTCGAAAAGTTATTCCTTCTCTTTGGGCCTCTAGTCAGTTCACTAGTGTAATAGCGTAAGCTTCTGTTGTTGTACGTCACACGCATCACGCACATGACCAGCGTCGGCCAATAGTGAGCCTACGTGAGACGTAGCTCTACGGAATCACACTACGTTAACTGACTAGAGGCCCAAAGAGAAGGAAATGAATAGTTGAAATAAAGTCGTTATTTTTGTTTGTTTTTGCGCAAAAAAAGTATTCTCGTCGCTTGATAAACTTAAGATTGAGCCACTGTAGTCACTTGGACTATTTTAACGATGTCTTTAATAACTTTTCGAGGCCGGCAAGTTCAATCCCTGTAGAAGCCTATGGACTAGTATGGAGGAGTGATCCAGCTCTCAGATTTCATCAAAAATATCTTAATTCGTGTTCCGAAGATGAACGAAGGTCTTACGGGGTTGGAACAACATGAGGGTGAGTAAATACTGACAGAATTTTCATTTTTGGGTGAACTAACCCTTTAACTTCCCTGCCTACAAGAACAGAGGATAAACCAAAATTACCTTCTCTGTGAACAGAGGATAAACAAAAAAACTAGCACGTAATGCTAATCCTTCTCTGTGAGGATATATCACCTTCCCTGGTAAAGCAGAGGATAAATCTTCCCTAACTTTACAGAGGATTAACCTTCTCTAGCAATGTAGAGGATAACTATTGTTAAAGGGTTAGTTCACCCAAAAATGAAAATGATGTCATTAATGACTCAACCTCATGTCGTTCCAAGCCCGTAAGCCCTCCGTTCATCTTCGGAACACAGTTTAAGATGTTTTAGATTTAGTCCGAGAGCTTTCTGTCCTTCCATTGAAAATGTATGTACGGTATACTGTCCTTGTCCAGAAAGGAAATAAAGACATCATCAAAGTAGTCCATGTGACATCAGTGGGTTAGTTAGAATTTTTTGAAGCATCGAAAATACATTTTGGTCCAAAAATAACAAAAACTACGACTTTATTCAGCATTGTATTCTTTTCCGGTTCTGTTGTCAATCCGCGTTCACGAGTCCGCAGTGACGCTGCTGACGTAAGACGCTGCTGACGTGTTATCTGGTGCGCCCGAGCTTCGTTTACAGTCTGAGGGAGACGCACGCTGTAAACAAAACAATCTTCGCAAACATGTCTAAGGATTTCGACACAGAGGAAGATTTGCATTTTTTTTGCCCAGCCATATTTATTTGAACCCGAAAACACGGACGCACCAGATAACACGTCAGCAGCGTCTTACGTCAGCAGCGTCACTGCGGGCTCGTGAACGCGGATTGACAACAGAACCGGAAGACAATACAATGCTGAATAAAGTCGTAGTTTTTGTTATTTTTGGACCAAAATGTATTTTCGATGCTTCAAAATATTCGAACTATAACCCACTGATGTCACATGGACTACTTTGATGATGTCTTTATTTCCTTTCTGGACAAGGACAGTATACCGTACATACATTTTCAATGGAGGGACAGAAAGCTCTCGGACTAAATCTAAAATATCTTAAACTGTGTTCCGAAGATGAACGGAGGTCTAACGGGCTTGGAACGACATGAGGGTGAGTCATTAATGACATAATTTTCATTTTTGGGTGAACTAACCCTTTAACACACTGTAGCTGTTGTTAACCTTCCCTGGTTGAACAGAGGATAAACTTTCATCTCTAAAAGAAAACTTTAGAGGATAACTTAGTTAAACAAACTCTGCAGCAGTCTGTTAACTCTTCTCCGACGGCGCAGAGGATAACAATTTTGCACTGGTCTTAAAGGTTCTTTTGGATATAGTAGCACTCACCAACCCCTTGGTTCTACAGAACGATTCAGTCTGGAACTCAGTCAGATCTTTGTTGTTTTTTAAGTTTCAATCTGGATTCAGGTGAGTAGCTCCATCAGGGTCACGGCACCAACTGTTGTGAATCTGACCAATACACAAAACAGGACTGGCCAGTTTCACAGCTGAACTTTTGCAGTTTATATACTATTGTACTGGAACCTATAACATTCAATACATTTGTAACACTACAGGAGGTCCCTTTTTTAAAAATATTTATTTATTTATTATTATTATTATTTAAATTCATTTTTATTATTAATATTATTTTCTTTTAATTGTTTATTTACTATTATTATTATTATTTTGAACATATGGTGTTTCTTTGCATTTTTTGCAGTATTTATATTATTTGCATATTTGTAATATCTATATTATTTGCTGCAGTTGTACATTTGTGATGTTTTGTGCCAGACATGTTAACCGCCTGTTAATTTAATCCAGTTGATTATCCCTAATTGGTAATTACAATTGGTAAAAGGGTGAATATTTGTTTTAATGTGAGCACTGAAGAAAGAAATGTGTTGAAATATCTGCTTGTGCTTGTTTCAATTGATTCAATTCACTTGCATATTATAAAATAAAATCTATTTTTGCTAGACTTTCTCTAGTCTGGACTGAATTCAGTGTGCAGTTAGCGATTTTCTTGTTTCTTTTTTTGTGTCTATGCACCTGAAGCAAAAGGATTTATCATCTATTCGGAGCACAACAATATCTTCTAGTATATCTGAACGTTAAATTCTCTCACCAATACTGATGTAGCTATCTCTCCTATCGCTGTCTTTAATCTTGAAATAATCAGATTTTTGTCATGATTTGTTATTATTGTGCAGCCCTTATTTAATTACAGATATGAAATGACCTGTGTGGTTTTAAGTTTACAAAACAATTTATAATATATTTGTTTATTTTGTTGTTAGCAGTGAATTGCAGTGGGCGTTTGAGAGAACTTTTGGTACTGTTAACATAATTTGTGTGAAATATAGCTGACTAGTTGTGTCTCTTAGGTATCTCCATGAGTCTAGTGGAGTCTAAAGATGGCATTCAGCACTTCACCTTTGAACATAATCGTGACTATCAGCAAGTCCAGTTCAAGTTTTTTGATGCAGTCGAGTCAATGGACCCCAACAACATTGTGGTAATTTTATTCTAACATGCTATTAGCTGTGAACTGATTTGATTTTTTAATGCACACATGAGTGACAGATGTGTTACATTATGTATGTGACGCTCCGTTTCTCTTTTTTTTTTTCTTCAGGTTCTTCTGCAACTCAACCCATATCATATTGATTCACTCCTGCAGCTGTCAGATGTATGTCGCATACAAGAAGATCAAGAGACAGCCAGAGATCTCATCGGTGAGAAAATTCACTGATGTGCTGAATATGAGTAGGGCTGTAGCTATCGATTATTTTAGTAACCGAGTATTCTACAGATTATTCCATCTATTAATCGGATAAAAAAATCTTGGTAAAAAAATAGATGCCTTTAAAATGACTTAAAATACAAATATATAATAACAAGCAATAATAATTGGTTCAAATAAAGTATCAAAGTAAGTAATCATATGGGTTTTATTGAACAACACTTAAAATTCACCATGTAAAATAAATGATATAAACTAATATAAACATAACTTATTTACATTACTATAAAAATGCCTGCAGAGGCGCCAACGTCCTGGTGATAGTTGTTGTTGCACTACGGCATGATCAAATCCTTGTTTAATATTGGCCAAACAACATTTAATTCAAATGTCCACTTAACCTTTAATATTTGGTCACTTCTGTACGATAGAAATGCTACAGCCACTGTAATTTCTTGAACAAGAACATGTGCAGATCAAAACATGCAAACTTACAGCAAGTGTTTTAACTTTTATTTTGAAATCGCAATGAACAACAATTCAGATATTTAGAAACAAATGTATTCTCCTGTGCTGGCGTAGATTTACAAATGAGATGCGTTATCTTGTGAAATGGCACACACTGCATTCCCAGATGAACGTTATAAGCAACACAAACTCACAGAATGCATAGATGGAGTTTGAGAAACCGAGACGCTCCACACATATGATAACAGTGCAATTATGAAACACAAACTGCGTCCGACTTTTTGCATGGCCCCGTCCATCGGCCCCTCAATACAGTGAAGTCGTCCTGTACCCGTGCTGTAAGCCTTCTCTGAATCATTAGATATTTATTGGCACACTTCAGACGGGCTTCTACATGTGCCTTCTTGAGCAGGGGGACCTTGCGGGTGCTGCAGGATTTCAATCCATTCCGGCGTAGTGTGTTACCAATGGTTTGCTTGGTGACTGTGGTCCCAACTGCCTTGAGATCATTAACAAGCTCCTCCCGTGTAGTTCTGGGCTGATCCATCACCTTTCTCATGATCATCCTTACCTCATGAGGCGAGATCTTACATGGAGCTACAGTCCGAGGGCGATTGACTTTTCATTTTGTATTTCCATTTCTGAATAATGGCACCAACACTTGTCTCCTTCTCACCAAGCTTCTTGCTGATGGTCTTGTAGCCCATTCCAGCCTTGTGCAGGTCTACAATCTGGTCCCTGATGTTTGACAGCTCTTTGGTATTGCCCATGGTGGAATGGATTCATTGGAATGGAAGATACAGATTCTGTGGACAAGTGTCCACTAACATTAGGGCATTAGGAGTACTTTCTTAAAATGACAGGACTAATCTGTGTTCCACATGGGCACATAACCAATCTGTGGGAGGCAAAATTCTTGATGGTTGGTTGGGGATCAAATACTACGCAGACATCAGTCTAACCTAGAGTGCGCATGCGCCAGCGTGCATGCAGCCTGTCGCAGTTGCCCAGTTGTTTGTTGCCTTATTGTTAACTTTTAAACTTTCTTTTAAACTTTCTTTTAAATTTACATGTGCGATTTGCGGTCTACAAGTAATTTAAACTTGACTTTCTCTCATCATGCAATGTGAGAGAGTTTTAGATAACCACGGAATTGTTGCACAGCAACTTCATGGCCGCCTTGTTTACAATCGGATACAGCTGATCGCGCTGAAGTCAACCGTGGCGCCTATGCCCACAGACATCCCCAGAGAGATCTGGATGAAGACACACAGAGGTTGCAGAGGAGGAACGAAATGGCGAGGGAAGAGAGAGGGATCCAGACAACAGAGACTGAGAATGAAATTTAAACCGTGTCTCCCCTCTCTCATCATGGGCAATGTGAGATCACTGGCGAATAAGATGAACGAGCTAACAGCGTTAGCCCAGAGTCAGAGGGAGTTTCGGGAGTGTAGTTTAATGTGCTTCACGGAGACTTGGCTGCACTCGGATATTCCTGATTACAATGTCTCCATCGACGGCTTTCAGGTTGTTCGAGTGGACAGGGACCGCACCGAGAGCGGTAAGTGCAAAGGTGGGGGTCTTGCCGTTCTTGTTAACAACAGATGGTGTAATCCCGGTCACATTACGGTTAAACAGCGTATATGTAGCCCGGACACTGAACTACTTTCTGTGGGACTTCGGCCATACTATTTGCCACGAGAAATTTCACATGCCATCGCCGTTGTTGTTTACATTCCGCCATCGGCAAACCCGACGTCGGTGTGTAACGTTATCTACTCCGCCATAGCTGAACTCCAGACTCAGTGCCCTCATAGTGATTTCGGGTGACTTCAACCATGTTAATATGAACACCACACTAACAAATTTTACTCGGTATGTAAGATGCCATACTAGAGAAGAGAGAACTTTGGACTTGCTGTATGCTAACGTTAAGGAGGCATACAGCTCTTCCTCCCCCCCTCGTGCCCCCCTCGTGTCCTGGATTGTTCACTACCTGACTGGTAGACCACAGTATGTACGCCTTCAACACTGTGTATCAGACATCATGATCAGCAATACCGGGGCCCCGCAAGGGACTGTACTCTCTCCCTTCCTCTTCACTATTTACACCACCGACTTCAACTATCACACTGAATCTTGCCATCTTCAGAAGTTTTCTGACGATTCTGTTGTGGTTGGATGTATCAGTAAGGGTGACGAGACTGAGTATAGAGCTGTGGTGAGGGGCTTTGTTACATGGTGTGATCAGAACCATCTGCAGCTCAACGTGACAAAGACCAAAGAACTTGTTGTGGATCTAAGGAGAACAAAGATACCAGTGACCCCTGTTTCAATCCGGGGGGTCTTTGTGGACATTGTGGAGGATTATAAATACCCAGGAGTGCACATAGACAATAAACTGAACTGGGCCAAGAACACTCAAGCACTTTACAAGAAGGGGCAAAGCCGTCTCTATTTTTTGAAGAGGCTAAGGTCCTTTAACATTGACAGGACGATGCTGAGGATGTTTTACGAATCGGTGGTAGCTAGTGCTATCCTATATGCGGTCGCACGCTGGGGTAGCAGACTGAGGGAGGCAGATGCGAATAAACGGAACAAATTGACCCGTAAAGCCGGTAATGTGGTGGGGGTTGAGCTTGACTCCTTATCAGTGGTGTCAGAGAGGAGGATGCTGTCCAAACTGAATGTCATCTTGGATAATGTCTCCCATCCACTCTATGATCTGCTACTCAAACACTGGAGCACTTTCAGTGCAAGACTTATTCTACCAAAATGCACCACTGAGTGCCACAGGAAGTAATTTCTGCCAGTGGCCATCAAGCATTATAATTCTTACCCCTGTGTCTGACACAGGAACCATTAGTTAGTTTAAATTGTTAATATTTTGGTTGCTGTGCAACATTATCGGTTTAATCTGATCTGTTTTAAAATGAATGTGTAATTAGGGCCCAAGCCCTAAAAGGGCGCAGAGCCCTATTGTTCTTCTAAGGATTATTAGGGCCCAAGCCTTGAAAAGGCGAAGGCCCTATTGTTTTCCTAAGGATTATTATTAGGGCCCAAGCCTTGAAAAGGCGAAGGCCCTATTGTTTTCCTTAGGATTATTATTATTAGGGCCCAAGCCCAAAGGGCGAAGGCCCTATTGTTTTCCTTAGGATTATTAGGGCCCAAGCCTTGAAAAGGCGAAGGCCCTATTGTTTTCCTTAGGATTATTATTATTATTATTATTATTATTATTATTATTATTTTATCGACTATTCGGGCACTTTTGGGGCTCTTAACGTGCACGAAAACTCTTGAAACTTTGCACACTGGTCAGAACCCGCGGCCATCAGGGCCGGGCTGAAGCTGGTACCCGGGCGTGGCAGGGGGGCTCGACAGCGCCCCCTGGAACGGGGTCCGAAAACTTGGTCCATAAATCAAACACGCTTCCATGTAATAATATGAAACTCGGTACACATATAGATCTCATCGGTTCATATATCCTTTGTACTTTTACTTTTTACCCCAGCCCAACAGGAAGTCGGCTATTATGGTTTGTTTGGAAGCGTATGCCCCTGGAATTCGATATACTCCTCCTAGAGAATTCAACCAATCGCAAGGAAACTCGGTCAGCATGATGTCAAGACATTGAGGATGAAAAATTGCCAGGGGATTTTTCATATCTCGAACGGTTTGGCCGTGGCGAGGAAACAAATTTATGGCGAATTATGGAAACAGGAAGTGTGTTATAACTTCTGCATACATTAACTGATCTTGATGAAACTTCAACAGTATGTTCGCTGTAAGAGGCCGATCACATGGATGTGACTATTGTGAGTCAAAGTTATAGCGCCACCAACTGGCAGCAGGAAGTGTGTCACTTTCTAAATGCTTTTGACAAAAGTGGGGGGGTTAGTTTTATCTACAGTTACAAAACTCAGCGTGTATATTCTTCTCCTCAAGCCAAACAACTTTCTAATTTAAAGTAATTAGCTCCGACCCTCAGAAAGTCAGATATTGTGGTTTGAATAGGGTCATTTTCTCTCTCTCTCTCTCTGAGCCAATATGGCAAGCCGCTTTAACATTTAATCATTTTAACCTACTAGTCTCTATTTTCATGCTACTAGTACTTATTTTTAGATACTAGTATCTATTCCATTAAGTACTGGTACTTATTCATTAGCGACTAGTGCTTATTCTTTAGTACTAGTGCCTATTCTTTAGATACTAGTGCTTATTCTTTAGATATTCTTTTGAATACGTATTAGTAGCTAATGAATAAGTACTGGTATCTATTTAATAGGTACTAGTATCTAATGACTTAGTACTAGTATTTATTGAATAAATACTAGTATCTATTAATAGGTACTAGTATCTAAAAGGTCATTTTCTCTTTCTCTCTGAGCCAATATGGCAAGCCGTTTTAACATTTAATCATTTTAACCTACTAGTCTCTATTTTCATGCTACTAGTACTTATTTTTTAGATACTAGTATCTATTCCATTAAGTACTAGTACTTATTCATTAGCGACTAGTGCTTA